AAAGAGACAGTAATGAGACCACCGCGACGATGTCTTCCACCGGTTTCTCTACTCTTTTTTAACGGTTGTTCTACCATGCCGGAGATACAACTTCGCTTCGTGGATAAAGAGTATAGAAAGAAGATGGCTAGGTGAAGAAGAAGAGGAAGAAGAAGGGCTCTAGTAAAGGGGGAAGGGTAAGGAACAAGTATAACACGAGGGAACGTCCACGTGTTGGATCTAAACGGGGTCGCTGAATTATTTAAAACCGAGCCGTCATTTATCGCGAAACACAAAAGACACTTTATCTTTGTTGCACCGATTAGAAAGAATTTCCTTCTCTCTGTTAAGGAGAATAAATCGTCTCTTTAACGTTTTATATCAAAAGAGATTTATCTCGCGAGATTTTTATTTACGACAGATTCCTTCTTTTTTTTTTCTTTTTTTCTTTTTTTATTCTCGATTCGCTCGAGACGGTACTATTGTATAATAAAGTCCATTTTTCAAAGTAATCTTTCACTTTTAGTATAAAAAATATTTACAGAAACTTGTCAAAGAAATTGCAAAGATACACAATTTACAGCATTGCATTCTCTGACATTTTCTGAACTTTACATGCTAAATTTATAACTCGATATTGTATTCTACGCGTAGACAAAAGAGTGTACTTTAATTTAATATAAGTTTCATTAAAATCTATTCACTTTTAGTATAAAAAATATTTACCAAAACTTGTCAAAGAAATAGCAAAGTTGTACAATTTATAGCATTGCAATCTCTGATATTAACACCTAAGAGAGAGAGAGAGAACAAAGAATTGATAGTTTAAGTGAATATATTCTTATTTATTTATTCGAGTTTATCGTCCTGCTAGGCCAGCTCGTGTCGAAGTAATCGGATCTGTCGTAGAGTTTCGCGGTCCTACATATACCATAAGTATAATATACATACTTACAAAAATAAACGTGTATAATATCCCTTTCTAAGTAGCCTCACGTATTTATTTCAGTTCATTTACTTCTTGTACCGCAAAAGTTAGTAATCTTTTTTTAGACATACATATATAGAATGTATGTTACAATATACGTGGCGCGGTTTCGCCATTGATGAAAAAAAAATGTGTCGCCGTTATCGACACCATACACTCCTTACTTACGTTTATACCTGATATATCATAACTCGACTTTCGTTCGTGCGATTTCGCGATGTTTGTACTTCGACTATGAAAAATAATGTTTCGTCGTTAAAAAATACGTTATCGTACGTAAGATCGCGGTGTGTTAGTTGTTTTAATTTAAGACCGTGTAAATATCAATCAATTTAAACGGTTAAATACAAATAAAAAGTCTTCTTTACTATGTCAGATAAATTCTATTTCAGTTCGTTACATCTACGTTAAAACCTAAATTATGTGGATTTATTTTATGATATTATATTATGGCGTATGTGTGTCTAAGAAGATAATATTACTAACAGGAGATTCTTCCTTTTCAGATTAAATTAACATTGACGTTATATGGTGTTACTATCACTTGTGTGTGTGTGTGTGTGTGTGTGTGTGTGTGAGAAAGAGAAAAAGAAAAAAGGAAGATCTTGATTGAAACCACCCACTTCGAATGCTATTTTTTTCTACTATACGAAATTAATAGACTGTAAATCCTAGTTGGTTTATTTCGTTAGCGTTGGCAATCACTTTATGAGGGAAGGCTTATCTTTTTTCGTAGCATAAAGCTATGAATAGGATCGATTTAAAAAATAATAAAAAATAAAACAGAGAAGTGTTGTTGATAGGATGATAAAGTCCATCGTGAAAGCTATAGAGAGAAAGTAAGATAAAACGATAGGTAGATAAAGGAGGAAGAAAGAAAGAAAGAAAGAAACTAAACTAATCGTTATAATGGTAACAGTATAGTATATACCTTTTATATTTAAGTATTTTTTATTTACATTAGAAAATAAATACGCGATTCCAAACGTATACTACTCCCTTGAAAAAGAAGAAAAAAGATTTTCAAATAAACTTTATATAATATAATGATCCTTATTTATTAACTTTATTTATTTTATTCAGTATTTTCTCTCGTCCAAAATTATAATTCTTAATGATAAGGGTTCATAGGGAACTTGGACATAAAAAGAAGTAGAACTTAATTTAAGTTAAGTTGTTAAATTAACTTAGTTAAATTAAGTTCTACTTCTTTTTATGTCCAAGTTCCCTATGAACCCTTATCATTAAGAATTTATTTATTTTCTTTTTCTTTTGTAATTTATTCTTTGTAATCACATAAAAAGAAATCTTTTGAACGGATAACTGTTTGTGTTTAAGGAAGTATAAGTAAAACGATTATTTACGATAAATATTCCGTACGTTAATTACTGCGACAGTGGATAAGGGTTATTTGCCCTGAAAAAAAAACGCGTCCAACGTACTCTAATATCGATTTATTGCTCGATAGCGTTTATGCATGCAACGCATGAACGATAATACGATGCGTTCCAGTAATACGACAGGGTATTCGTCGTTGGGTGACGCCGAAGCGTCTCGTCTCGTCTCGTCTCTTCTCCCTGTAACTCCTCTTTACTTACCTTTACTATCCAGGTGTAGTTCAGTCAGTTTATTCTCGTGTGCTTACCGTCCACATAAAGCTTATAACGTTGCTTATAAACCAGTTGCGGCTGACTAACATGCTACTTTCTCGCTTCCAGACATGTACGTTGTGTGTCGTCTTCCCTGTAAAAAAAAAAAAAAAATTATGAAAAACTTTATTCTTATATAAATATAAAACATAGAAAGTTATATAATATTTCTAACCTTACACAATGAATTGATATTTTTAATATAACGATTTTGTATTGTTATCCATAAACGTAGGGTCATTAAAAATCTCTTTATCGAATTGAAAATATTATAAATTTGTTTGTATAAAATAACTGAATCATATAGAATCATATTTTTTGTAATAAGACTATAATTGATAATTCGTAATTTTTGTCACGAAAAAATATAATAGTATTGTTGAGAATTAAACGTATATTATTAATTTGTTTCAAAGTAAATTTCCTTTGGATTTTTTTGTAAATCTTTGTTGAGAGAGCTTCCTGCAAATTTGTTTTAATATTGTTGAAATCTTTCCAACGTTTGTGCGTTAATGCTAGATCAAAAATAAGACAAGCGAAATATCTTGTTATACAAGCAGAATAAAATTATTTCAAAAAATGTATTATATATTAATTTTAGAGTTAATGTTTGAGTTAATGTTTAAATTAATACTCGTTACAGGATCACGTTACGTGCTATATAACTGTACTCCCCCACTCACTCTGTTTCCCTATTTCTTAATTTGCTCGCGCATCTTCCACCCCTCTGTCAACTCTCTCCGAACCAATCACTTTTTCGCACGCTATAATATCTTCGATCGAATCAGAATAATGTCCTCGAAGGAGTAGTTTGAGTTTTGGGAATAGGAAAAAATCACACGATGCCAAATCAGGCGAATTTAATATTTAGATGATATTGATGCTTTTTTTCTGACAATGAGTTGTATTCCTAAAATGGAAACAACATTTGTTTTCGGCCAAACTTATGTAGCGTGCGAAAAAGTGATTGGTTTGGGGGGAGTCGACAGAGGGATGGGAGATGCGCGAGCAGAGTAGAAATAAGAGAAACAGAGTGAGTGGGGGTGTACAGTTATATAGCACGTAACGTGATCATGTAACGAACAGATTTAAACATTAATTCGAACATTTACTTTAGCATTAATATATAATACATTTTTTGAAATAAATTTTTTTCTGTCTGCATACCAAAATATCTCGCTTGTCTTGTTCTTATTTTACCGTTAGCACAGAAACGTTTTTTTATTTTTTAAAAAAGAATTTTCAACTCACCTTCGTATCAAATAATTTATAATTCCGTTAACATCTCGGTATTGATTTTTTTCTTATGTTTTTATCGTCACGGTAAAGCAATTTTTGAGAAAGCATATGTTATATGCATTATTGTATTACTTTGTTATAAATAAGAGAAAAAGCTAGTCTTTATCGATCAAATGGATAGTGGTAAAATAACGAGATCAGCATCAATCGTTCGTGTAGACCGAAAGGCGCCGTATGTTCCAGTAAACTACATACACATCAGAGACTAACAACCTGCATTGTAATCGTGAAATAATGGTGGAGCATGTCGTGCGCGATTTTTTTTTTTCTCTTCACATTTTGCGCTAGAAAAATTGATAGATGTATAAGTAGGATCATACATGCATATACGTATATACACGTGGATATTTCTTTTTTTATACTATTGTAATTTCAAAGATCGATAAATTTATCTATCATACATTGTCTGTGGACTAAGCTTTGTTATTTATTATTAGGATTTATAAAGAGTATATAACATTGAGAGACGAGCTCTTTGATAATTTATCGAGTAACGAAAATACAATTCGATAAAATAGAAACGTAAAAAGGTATATGGTTAAAATGAATGTATGTACAAGTGTTTATGTTCATAGATCAAACATTTACAATTCATAGATAACATTGACAAACTTTCGTATGCACCGATATCTAAATATAAACGTGCATCACGCATTAATGCACTATAGAGAACAATAATTAGGACATTGCAAACATGTCGAAAATTATAATCAAATCGTATAGAGAGAGAGAGAGAGAGAAAGAGAATACTTTCTTTTTATTACGTTGACAATGGAAGAATACAAAGAAGGAAAAGCATTGGAATTAAAGGCACGTGAGTACATACATATGTACGAGACGTGATTTGGAGAAGATATACGGATTAAAATGTTACGTAAGGTCCCTTGATAATTTCTGTTACGAATGTTCACACGAGTACATTAGCCTAGTTAGGATGAAATTAATGAGAATTATGCAATATGTCCGACTTATCGTATTAACGCGAGTAAACCGTTCATTTAATAATTATGACGTATTAGAGAAAAAAAATATATAATCGATTGAATAAACAAATTTTTGTCATTATTTTATTTGATTATTTTCAGAGTGATCCAAGCACGTCATTTTTGAGAGCAGCTCGTGCAGGCCAACTCGAAAAGGTTTTGGAATATCTTGAATCGGGCGTGGACATTAATGCATCGAATGCTGTAAGTTTATCATTTAATTAGGTTTATTAAAAAGAAGTGCTGTATCGCATGAATTTAACATAGTCGCAATTGATCAAGATACTTGGATGACTATGTAAGGAATTATACGCGTTGATACGTACAACGAATATTTTACTTACACGGAATTTAAACAAAAACGGGAATGAATTTATTTTTTTTTTTTTTTTATACTTAGAACGGACTGAATGCTTTGCACCTGGCAGCTAAGGATGGCCACTTGGAAATTGTACGAGAACTTCTTAATCGTGGCGCAGTAGTCGATGCTGCTACTAAAAAGGGAAACACCGCATTGCACATTGCTTCTCTTGGTAAGTAAGCGTATTCCATTTGTGTGTGTTACTCTGTATACGTATAAACGAACGTACACAAATATACACGTAAAATACATGTACTCTCAGATTATATCGATTAACCCATATCTCTTTCCATACCTTAATACCGATATGGTGCATTGCCTCTAGGCAATAATAAAAAAAAAATGCATTGCTATGTCCAACACCGCGATGACACGTTTGATCGAATAAAAAAGAATGTAACTTTCTATGATTTATCTATACTCGAAAATCTATGATATTTCATATTGTTTTTGTTTCTCTTTTTTTTTTTTTATTTATTTTTTAAGGGTTTCGTCATATACGTTGACATTTTATTTATTTTATACTTATTCTTCTTGGGTCACACATAATGGGGAAATGTATATGATATCTGATCACTTTTCTCTCACATCAGTGTGAAATTAATATCTTGTTTCAGCTGGACAAGAGGAGGTTGTACAATTGCTCGTTCAACAAGGTGCTTCTGTCAACGCACAGTCACAAAATGGGTTCACACCACTATATATGGCCGCTCAGGAAAATCATGACTCTGTGGTCAAGTACCTCCTCAGTAAGGGTGCAAATCAAACCCTCACTACGGAGGTACGTGTTATATACAATCTTTTTTTAATTTGAAATATGTGTTATTCGAAATAAAAAAAATATAATATACTTTATACGCTTCAAAGATTAAGTTTCGAAAAAGTATTTCGAAAGATTTATGATTACTCTTGTTTACGAGAGTGACAGATATCTTCTGTTAAAGTATTTTTATTATAACAAATTGTATTATAATTGTTTCGAAATAATTACTATTATTGCTAATAGTATTACACGTTTGCCCTATCGATAACGATTCAATTTACGATGACTCATTTACATTATCATCTTATCCCCCCCGATAATACGAAAAATCGTATTAGGGATGTCTGCCAACAAATTAGTTCTACCACTATTAAAAGGGTGGAGTCGCTATCATTTAGGGTTAGGGTAAATCACTTTATTGATGCCCAAGGTTGTTTTTTCTAATACCAGAGATAAGGAATAATTTTTGTACGTTAGACTGAAATAAATGATAAATGATTTGGAATTGATTTAAAAGATCAATATATTTATAGATCGATTAATTCATCACGGAACGGGTGATGTAAGCATGTTAAAAAAAAAAATCAAGGATTATTTTGAAATCTCAAAGACATGTCTGTCCTTCGTATAGACAAGATTTGTCAGGGGGCACAAAAAAATTCTCGAAATAAAATTAATTCCATTTAAAATATTTTTTTTCAATAACGAATGGTTCTCGAAGTTAATTTCGTGTTAAAATTCATACGAGATACAATCCAATTTATGTATTATAATGTAATTAATTATTGTAATTTATTGAATTCCCCTATTTTTATTTGTTTCCTATCGCAGGATGGGTTCACTCCATTGGCGGTGGCCATGCAACAGGGTCATGATAAAGTAGTTGCCGTTCTATTGGAAAATGATACTCGCGGTAAAGTTCGATTACCTGCCCTCCACATCGCAGCTAAGAAGGATGATTGTAATGCGGCTGCCCTACTTTTGCAAGTACGACGTCATATTTCTCTTTTTTTTTTTCTAGCAAAAGAGCCCTTCGTAGCAATCCTCTTATTCTTGTTAATAGGGTTCACCACTTTCTATTAGTTTATACCATATATTCATTTGATCCAAATAGTTGACCGATTTTTATCAACGAGAATAGTAAAAAATACTGCTAGAAAAATTGTGAAAATTATTATGTAAAATTCGTCTCTTAAATTTTCAAATATTTTTCAGATCGATGTACGTGTACAACAAAAAATTCACTGAAAATATAATCTCGCATCGGGAAAACTTTGTCTTTAAAATATTCTATCTTTCGAATAAAAAGTAGAGGATAATTTTAACTTTTTTTTTTTTTAGAAACTTCTGCAAATAATGTAAAACAGTTTTGTATAAGTATTTTCGCATATATTTCATTGAAAGTTAGGACGTTTTAATTACATGAAAAGAATTTTAAATTACATACTAATGTATTATATACCTAAATATGGTTTTAATTAAATATGAAAAGGATGAAATCGTTTATGAGATTTCATATCGACTTATGTATTTTTACTCGTTATTAAAAAAGTACTGTAGCTTTTTTTAGTCATATATAAGAATATGTATTTGACCTATTTATGAATTATATATCATCGTTATATGAAATACGTCAGACTGACAAATAGGTATCTGAACGTTTTTGGATTATCATTCATTATGAATTTGTAATAAATCAATCAAAGAGTCAACACAATACGCTTTTATTGAATATTTTAAATAAATTGAAAATTATAAAAGTAATTAGCGCGGGTTTATTGAATCTTTATCGTGTATGTTTTATTTTTCAACAGAACGACCATAATCCCGATGTAACTTCGAAAAGTGGTTTTACGCCACTTCACATAGCCGCGCATTATGGCAACGATCGAATTGCTTCTTTACTTTATGACAGAGGTGCGGATGTTAATTTTGTTGCTAAAGTAAGTATTCAATCATATTCATACGTGGACGTATAAGTATTTAAAAAATATTTGAACAAATATGATATTTACGTTTTATTTTTTCGTTTGTTTGTTCGTTCGTTCGTATAGCACAATATTACACCGATTCATGTGGCTGCAAAATGGGGTAAAATAAAAATGGTAAGTCATCTGATGAATAAAGGAGCAAATATCGAAGCTAAAACGAGAGATGGCCTTACACCTCTTCATTGTGCAGCAAGATCAGGTCATCATGAAGTTGTTGATATTCTTATTGAAAAAGGAGCACCCATTGGGTCTAAGACAAAGGTAATAAATTATATATTCAAAAACGACATCGTTGTCGAATAATATTTGATTATCATTTGAATAATGCATTTTTTCTTGATTATCGTACAGAATGGTCTCGCACCATTACACATGGCTGCTCAAGGAGATCACGTAGACGCAGCAAGGGTTCTACTTTATCATCGTGCACCTGTGGATGAAGTAACAGTAGACTATTTAACAGCATTGCATGTAGCAGCTCATTGTGGTCACGTAAGAGTGGCCAAACTTTTACTCGATAGAAATGCGGATCCTAATGCACGTGCACTCAATGGTTTCACACCTCTTCATATCGCGTGTAAGAAGAACAGGATAAAAGTAGTTGAACTTCTCTTAAAACACAAAGCTAGTATCGAAGCCACTACGGAGGTAAATAATAATTGTGTATTAAATATTAAAAATATATATATTTTTTGTAATATAATTAAAAATTCTTAAACTCTTATTTATTTATTTGATTTAGTCCGGATTAACTCCGCTGCATGTAGCAAGTTTTATGGGATGTATGAACATCGTCATTTACTTGCTGCAACACGAAGCTAGTCCAGACATACCGACAGTAAGAGGCGAGACGCCGTTACATTTAGCTGCTAGAGCAAACCAGACTGATATTATCAGGATACTTCTTAGGAATGGTGCTCAAGTTGACGCTAGAGCAAGGGTACGCGGATATCATGTAATTTTATTTTCTTATTTTGAATAATTTTAATGTTTTCGTCATATTTTCTTTTTTAGGAGGAACAAACACCACTCCACGTTGCTTCCCGCTTAGGTAACGTTGATATCGTAATGTTGCTATTACAACACGGTGCTGGAGTTGATGCAACAACGAAAGATTTGTACACTCCACTTCATATCGCTGCTAAGGAAGGTCAAGAAGAGGTAAATATTTAATAGTTACAATCAACTTTTAATCATACATTTTAATATTTGATTATCTTTATTAAATATAACGTATTTTTTGAAAATTATTTTTTGTGCGTAGGTTGCTTCAGTTTTATTAGAAAACGGCGCATCACTTACTGCTACGACTAAAAAAGGTTTTACGCCATTGCATTTGGCAGCTAAATACGGCAATATGAACGTGGCAAGATTGTTACTACAAAAGAATGCACCGGTTGATGCTCAAGGAAAGGTAATCAACGTCTTATTGATTTTGTATTAAAATTATATATAGGCATAAACGCGACAAGTACAAATATTTTGATCGATTTATTAAATACAGAATGGAGTAACTCCTCTTCATGTAGCATCGCATTACGACCATCAGAATGTAGCATTACTCCTATTAGACAAGGGTGCTTCGCCACATGCTATGGCTAAAAATGGTCATACACCTTTACATATTGCTGCACGAAAAAATCAGGCAAGTAAACAAAGTAAAATGATGTTTAAATAATTGACAGAATCGACAGAAAAATTTGAATGATTGTATGCAGATGGACATTGCAACAACATTACTGGAATATGGTGCAAAAGCTAATGCAGAATCAAAAGCTGGATTTACGCCGCTACATTTAAGTGCACAAGAAGGACACACTGATATGTCAACTTTACTTATCGAACACAAGGCAGACACAAATCATAAGGCGAAGGTACACAATTGCATAATTGGAAAATATTCTTTATTTCATTATTTATTAATCTGTTTTTTCAGAATGGTCTTACGCCGTTACATTTATGCGCACAAGAGGATAAGGTCAACGTTGCTTCTATCCTCGTAAAGAATGGTGCTCAGATCGATGTTAAAACAAAGGTAATGTAATTATGTTTATCTACATTTATGCTATGAATAGGAACAATACAATTAGCGAAAGATCAATGGCACGATAGACGATGAATACTATAACTGAGCGTAGACAAAAATTATCATATTCTCGATTATATCGTTAACATTGTCAATATAATTCAATTATCATTGGAGACACAATAAGTACTTTAAGTAGCTCTAGGTTGCATTTTTTGTATTGTTATTTTTAAGTGTCCGACTTGTTCACTTGACTCTATTGTCTTTATAGTGATAGTAATTATTGGTATTGTTTGTTGTGTACTATCTTATAAAAAAATATTTTATGTTACAATTATCACATTTTTATTTTTATATCAAATGTTTTATTAAATATATGCGTTTATTTCAGGCTGGTTACACGCCATTGCACGTTGCAGCTCATTTTGGACAATCAGCAATGGTGCGATTCCTTTTGCGCTCCGGTGCAACTGTTGATAACAGTACCAATGCTGGTTACACGCCGTTACACCAAGCTGCTCAGCAGGGACACACGCTGGTTATTAATTTACTATTAGAAAGTAAAGCTAAGCCAAATGCTGTAACCAATGTAAGTAGAGCTAAAAATCCAATTTTCGATATGCAAGACAACGTTCTTTTACAAAACACGTTAAAATAATCAAATTGTCTTACGTTTTATAGAATGGGCAAACTGCTTTGGATATTGCACAAAAACTTGGCTATATCAGCGTCATTGAGACATTAAAGGTTGTAACTGAAACTATTATTACCACAACACATACTATCACTATTGAAGAAAAATATAGAGTACAAGCACCCGAATCTATGCAAGAAACATTCATGAGTGACAGTGAAGATGAAGGCGGTGAGTACATGGTTTATTACTATAATCATTCGTTTTTGCTTAATAGATACTTATTGCAGTCTATGCATATTCAAATGTATAATCTTATTTAAGAGTTGAATTAAGAAGGACTAACATCTTTTTTCAATTTAATAGTGGAGGCGTTTGAAAATAATACCTCATGCGATTTTTAAATATACATGTTGAATATAGTTTGCAATTGAGAATTTTTATCCGATAAAATATATGTTCGATAATTAAAGAAATAGGAATGTTACAAAAAAAAAAAATAAAGAAAAGGATTTTTTGTAAAAATACAAATATAAATCTTATTGGAATTAAATTTCGATACATAATTTGACAAAATGCATGCTGTAAAATAATTCTTATAGAGAAAGTCCTACGTCACACAATGATGATATATTATTAATTTATATTGCATTTCTATTTAATTTAATAAATGTTTCTATTGAAAGCGTTATTCGTGAAATTGTCCGTATTAAATTAATGAATATTTTTGATTTGTTAAATATGTATATGTATTACACCATTGGAATTAACACAAGTTTCTTCCAAAACAATTGCATGAAAAAATACTAAATGAATTATCAAGTAAGCTTCCTAAAATTACGTACACACTCTTGCATGAGGCATGAGGATAATATATAGTGTAGTTTAAATAATGAAGCATGGGTGATACATGTCTTCTTAGCTTATAAAACTATTTTCCTTATATGAATATCCTCATAGATAATCATATCCTTTTCCCAACCCGATTAGTTACGATGGAACAGGCAACATGAGGTAGCAGGGATAGGTTCAAATTACTCAACTTGACACAATAGAATATATATATATATATATATATATATATATATATATATATATATATATATATATATATATATCTACATATTCTATATACATAAATGAACAAACATACGCGTAACGAATACGTGTATTACATTATTATTTAGTATAATCGGTTTCTTTGTCGAAATTCCAGAGTTATTATTAAAGAGCTAAATGGCATTTTTCTTTGCTTGTTTTTATTGCGTTTCTTTTGCATTCATTTCGCAAGAGCATGTATCTAGCATATACTCGCTGGGTTGTTAAATACGTCTTCCATCAAATGTTTATTCAAATTATATTTTTTCCGTCTATGTAAATATATCTATTTGGTATTGAATTTTGCAAAATAGCTGAGCTATCAATATTTCAAATAACGTATAGGTATTATCTTTGCTTTATCAATATTATGTAAAATTTTGAAGCTTCGTAATAGCACCAGGAATAGTTGTAAATATGCGGTCTTGCCTTAAAGTAAAAAATATTGTACAGGATATCCTGTAACTGGTATTACAAACGAGCAAGGGGTTGATTCTATATAAAAAATTAAATAAAAAATGTAGAATCACATTTGTTCGTCGCTTTGTTTTTTAGATAAGTAAGATTGAAAATTTATCGAGTACTTTTACACTCGAATGTGCATGCAACCTTGGAAACTAAAAGCCTCGTTTGATAAACATAAGTGTAAAATCGATATAAGAGGTATCATCATACTGATAATGTTTGCAAATATATTAGAAAGTACAAAAATGCTCTCCGAAATATCCAAGAGTAAGATAGTGGAATCTGTCGAGCTGAATCGTGTGCACATGTATTCGACAAATTTTCAAACTTATTTTTCTCAATAACAAAGCAACGAACAAATGTGATTCTACATTTTCGATTTAGTTTTTCATGTAAATTCACCCCTTGCTCGTTTTTACTATTATACAGTTGCAGGACACTCTGTATACATAGTATAGATAAGGTATAGGATTTGAAATAAAGTTAACATTTAAACATATTATAGAAACAAATTCTTGCAGTTGATTATTTATTAGCGTTTTCTCTTGAGTATTCATTACTTATGTAATAATTAATATTATATTTGTATTAGATAAATATATATATATATATAAATATAAATATACATATACATATATATATATATATATATATTTATTATATTATAATACATTTAAAACGATATTAGTTGCTTGCTTATATATATTACAAATGAGATTCTTCATAGCAGTTTCAGCGAAGGTATATATTTTGGTTTAACACTAACTATACGAAGACTAACAACCCAGTGATAACGAGATATAGAAACAATGTTTGATGGTGCAAAATTAGGGTTTTGATAAAAAAATGACCTTACTCGCCGGCGTATAATGTAGGTGGTGATGAAATCGGCATGGCAGCCATGAATGTGTACGGGCAGCCTCCACACGCGCAACACGTGTACCTTCCTTCTTACTACAAGGGCCAAATGACCTATACCCGTAAGTTCTCTGTTTTCTGTCACTCTGTCTCTACTCTCTACTCTCTCTCTCTCTCTTTCTTTCATTCACATGTCACACGTGCGTGCAGTACATACCGTACACACATACACTCTTCTGAGAGCCGTGTGATGTGGGTCATTTTGTAATATTTTCGTCAATCTCTGGAATTCTTAGCTCATAGATCGTCTGGTACATCGTTTAAGCATTCCCTTCCCATCTATTCGATCCCTTATAACTCGAAGCGACCACAATCAATCCATCTTGTACATTATTTACCTATCTCCCGCTAGCTTACATTTGGTATTGGATTTATACTTCTGGGTCCTTTTGTTTTCTTTCTGTAAAAATATAAACCCCCTTTTTAATTAAAAATGAAACTAAAATAAATTGTTATCGTTAGCATTTCGATATTTTTTAGTAACAACGAGTAGACACGACGAACTTATTATAGTTCATTCTTTTTTTTCAGTTGTTCTACCCTATCATGTCGAAAGTTGTTGAGTCTCATGATAGTTTGACCCTAATGCGCAGTAGTATGATTTGAATTTTTATTTTATGCACTTCACTTCGACAACAATCACCTTAAATCTTAACATTTCCCAATCGGCATTATGCGAATGAATGCGAACAGTTTTCCAATAAGATGGAACTCTCTCTCTCTCTCTCTCTCTCTCTCTCTCTCTCTCTCTCTCTCTCGTATTTGAATTCACTCACGTATCGTACGTATTTATGTAAATATATTATACAATACTACGATGCGTGACAAGTTAGAAATCGTTTAATTATCCAACGAAATTTTCAAGATATCGGATAACGTGTTTGGATGTTGATGATGATGATAATGAAGAAAAAGAAGAGAAAAAAAACAACACACGGCTGCTAGTGCATCAAAGTGTTATGCATTTGATCGAAATCGGCGAACACACACACACAGAAGAGATATACACGTTAAAGTGTAGACAACACGTTGAAGGCATGAAACCGTATATCCTCTTGTTACAATTTAACATTCTGTACGATTAACGAAATGGGCCATTCTCCTGGCCGACATTAATGCAATTAACATAATAACGAGTAGCGTTATTATTCTAACACAAGTTGATAGAAACGGACGTAGATTAGGTCGTTCGTTGCTCGGTTTTGACATATCATCCTTGGCGTCATCGTCATAGTTGTCATTTTCAACATTGCACCCGTTGTACACCCGTCTCTGTAGCCTATGACATGCATTCTACATCGTCTGTTACCTGTTATGCAACACGTCGACAACGTACGTACGTACGACAACGGCGCGCGATTTACGTTTCGTTGAGAGTTTTCTTCTATTCATTGGTGCAATAGAATCTAGTCTTTAGTTTAACCCCCGTCGTCTTCTGGCCAACTGCCAAACCCGATCCAAGAACCCGAAATATCACATGAATTTATATAACATCAACGCGGCGGCGCTTACTTTTTCTTTTCTTACTTGTTTTCTTTTTCTTTTTTCTTTTTTTTGGAAGGGTTTCAACTCACCACGCGGATTACCTTTAGAGATTTATGTTTCCAAGAAGACTTCTTTTTATATTTGTCGCTGACGATAGTATAATAGTTTGTTCGTTCGAAGCAAAGTAAAGAGACTCCCCCCGCGTTAGATAGATATTTTTTTTCGGTTGTGAACATTTGCCAAGCGCCAGTAGTAAATCGCGTAATTAATTATATCTATATCTATTACACGTTAGGGATTTATTTCGAATCGATCATTATTAATTTAATTCGATCAATGAACACGACACTAGAGTCGACGTTATTTTTCAACATATCGTTTATAATATGCGCATAAATTACTAATGCACGCAATTTAAACGAAATTTTCCCTACCTTACTATTATAGGAAGACACGCATCCCCATAGATCTTGAGAAAACGTGTTGTGTAAACAGTAGAAAATCAGGATTGTTGTTTCAACGATCGAACGCGGTGAAGCCGGGCAACGGGGGTATACCTCGCGTCGTGTAAATAAATTGGCGGGAAAGCTCGAAGGCAATGACTATTATAAAATTGGTGATTCATAAAATGAGGTCACGTTTCTAGCGGTGGTCTTACGTCGAACTTGTATTAATCTCAAAACAGTCGCTGTTCCTGACCCCCGCGGATGCGAACGTAGTAGCGGAACGAACGCGGTGCATCAAATAAAAAAAAAAAAGAGAGAAGGCGTTACAATTGTGCGATTTATTTTTCTTCTTTCTACGGTGATACCGATATTACCTCAAATTTTACGATACAAACTTTTAATCACGTTTCAAACGTGAAAAGGACCACGTCTGATTTGTGTCATCGCATAGGATAAAATAAATCAATTAACGTTTTACGCAATCCTAAAATGACAAAGGTGATCATAACGGATTAATTTGATTCGTTTGAACGAATATTATTATTATCCGTATCGCGAAAATTTTCGATCGAAAATATTCGACGATAAGAATATATGAAAAAAGAAGAAAAGGAAAAATAAATACGTAGAAAGATCCTACGGTGATATTATTCTATCTACGGATTCAAAGGATTACGCACAGTTGCGAATAATCAGTGATGCAATAATTATGAGGCACACGTAACAACTCGTACCGCCACTAAATTGTCTTTATATCGTTCTATATGGCGTTGACTGCATAGAGAGTCCCTACTGTACACCGTATGCAACCTCGTAACAGTGCACCAGTGCACCTATTACCGTTCAAAAGGCACAAGACGATATAAACCGCGCTCTTCGTTATCTTTCAGTTTTTTCCATTTATTTATTTATTTTTTCTTTTCTTTTCTTTCCTTTGTTAAATTTTGTTACCTTCTTAAACATCGATAACTGTCTCCCGTTCGAAATGGCAAAGGGAAAGGCAAAGGGAAAAGAGTCGAAAGGGATGGCATGCTGCGGGTGTGCACGCAGCAGGAACAGCGACATTATATGTAAATATGCAATTATCATTGTCGTTATATCGTTCCATGCACATCATTTCATGCACGTCATCATCTACGCACTTTATCATTATGCTTTTCGTAATTATTCACGATAAATTAACGCGTGTTCACGTTCTTCGAAACATCAAAGGCTATGATACTTGCCGCTCGTTCATTCGACAATTCGAAAAAAAACTATGTCTCACTCATTTATCTTTTTTCCTAATCAGTTATTTCACTTTTCGTAATAATGCATATACGTTTGTAACGTTAATATTCACACGAAATTGTCGTTAACCGTATACTCTTTGAAATCATCGATTCGATAATTTTAAATATTCACTTTTACTAATAAAAATCGTATTAGGTAAATCCAACGACACGAATATCGTAATAATTGCATTCAAACGATGTTTTTTATTCTATCGATAGATACATCGATGGCTGATGTATTTTTAATGATTATTATCTAGCCAGTTTATGTTTAATTGTTCAAGCAAACGTAACGAGAATTAAAAAACTGGTTTTAAGTGGAATCGACAAAATTATTGTTACAGTAAATAACAACAATAATCGCATCGTGTAAATTAATTGTTAAATTACGAGAAATTAGTTAAATACATATTCGAAATCACTTAATATTCGTTACATAACATTAATGTATAGTAGAAACAACATGAATTTTTTTTAAAGGCTCGTGCCCATTAATAAAAGTTAAATATTCATTCTGTACATATATATATAACGGAAGTATACCGTAATAATGGCGCGAACATGCATTCTGCATTGCAAATGTAAACTCTAGCGCAAGACAAGGACATCAAGTTGTAGCGCCAATCTTACAGACACAAACAATTTGTTTTAAATTAAGCCATGACCACCTCGTACTACGAATAACGTTATAGTATCAAATAGTTGCCACTTTGCGACATCGACCGAAAATCACTCGGTCATTTCACGAAAGGTGTGTCAGTTTAAATTGTCATTGATATCGATGACGATAGAAACGTATATAATATATTTACATATATTTTTTTACTTGTATATACTTTGATCTTTTTATTATAAGATAGGATGAATAATTAGAAAAAGTTAGGATGATACTATAGGATAAAAATAAAAAATTAAATGTAAATTTTAAATGAAATAATATCTTTGTTAATTAATTAATTAAATCGAATATGAACAATATTTATACGTATATATATAAATATTAATTTATATGATAATTAAAAAAACAATCTCTCTATGGTGTTGATAGGTCCTATGCTCCTGCACAGTTCGTGCACCCATAGGTACGGCCTTGTTTACATGAATATCGTTTCTATACGTATGTAAAAGTGAGCAGAACTTGTTATACCTAATTAAGTTTATAGGAGGAAGAGGAATATATACGGTACGTTACGTGAATACGACATAATAATGATACGGACGGTTGCATCAATGACATAAGGAATAACGTGGGACAATGAGAAATTTATCCAGCCATGACTTTTAAAATTTTCTTACAAGTCAATAATAATTTTCATTGCACACTATATTTACAGATTAAAGTATTATTACGTTTAGAAACGATCGAGCTATTAAGAGTCATAATCTCTTTCGTAGATTATTATTATTATTATTATTAAACTATTTTCATCCTATGAAGCTTCGAAGAGTCTTCTTTATTCAATGAGATTTGACACGATTATATAGCTGATCTTTCGAGAGATGATTAGAACACGAACTCTCCATAAGATATAGGTCACCGTTTATGAAATTGGTTCTTTCGTCGAGATAGAAGCGTCTTAGAACGTCTAACAGAACTGTTTCAGTATTACGTGTCCTTGAACGATGATAAAATTAGCGTTTCTGTGTTACGGTTACGTTCATACCATAAAATTAAACATTTCTGAATACGTGGAATGACGAAAATTCAGATTTTCATCTGGTTCCGAAATATTTATCCGAAAACGTTTTCCAAATAAAAGGAAAAACTCGAACTATATCATCTTTGTACTCGTTAGATTAAACGAGAGAGAGAGAGAGAGAGAGAGAGAGAGAGAGAGAGAGAGAAATAAAAAGAAAAATGGAAGATTATTTGACAGCAATCATCGCATATCTACCATCGACGGTTCAAGGTCTTCTTCTCTCCTCTCATATTCTGAATAACTCGACATAATATTGTTTGTCTTTATTTTTAGATATTACAACATCTTACATGTTTTAACATATACAGAGGCGCGAAGAATAATTTGCTTTTATCTGCCGATAACTTATTAGACGTGGGCGGTAAATTTGTGAGCTGTCCATCCATTGGATAATTGTGGCCTATATTCTTGAAATGTCTGATAATGCGCAATCGTAAATGCGGCAAGATTTCAGTCTCTCATTGTCAGTGTGAAAAATGAGTTTTAACAGTAGTTACAGAATTCTGCATTTTATTTTTTGATTTCGGAGACAGATAATACGACGAATTAAGGAAGTATGACGTACTTTATTGTTTCGTATCTTAAATGGCAGAGATTTAATCTTTGTGTAAATGTATAACAAGAGATTGAGTAGTTCCTTAATCACGAACGGTGATGATAAACAAATAAATAGAAGGAAAATGAAGATGAAGATGAAGAAGGAGAAGAGAAAGAAGAAGAAGAAGACGAAGACGAAGATGAAGAAGACCAAAGATAAACCCCATCGCGTTGTTTTATTCTTTTTAGAAAAAATAAAATGGTCGATGAGATAAACGTTTATTTAGGAAAAATCCTTTTAACGCCGCTATTTCATATTATACCTTTACCAATCTTGCTTGTTATTTCGCTTATTCCTAATAATTTCATTGGCAATGATATTATTTATTTCCGTTGCAAAGGCATCAAAACCAATGTCCCCCAACATACATTTAATAATATTTAGTGCATACGATTTAATTGTGATCAATAATATTATTCTCATACGGTACTATAAATCTATCACATTGTATTCATATATTAACTTCACGAGAAGAACTTATTAACGAGTATACCGTGAACCGTAATAAAGATCTCATTGTTCGTTTATGCAGGTGAAGATCCGATGCTCAGCGACCAACATCAATACCGTTACATGACTGTTGATGATATGAAATCTATGGGAGACGATTCCATGCGCGTTAATGTTACCGATGACGAAAGAGATAATCGACATGCTGGAGGTACGTTAAAAAAAATTTTTTTCTTTTATTTCTTTTTTTTTCTTTTTCTTCTAGTCAGTCGTTTAATTAACAACGGAAAACATCCTGCAATTTTTCGTTATCGTCTTTTCTTTTTCTTTTTTTTTTTTCATTTCATTTGGTTTACAATTTTTTCTAGCACCCACGATAACAGAAATGATCACCAAGGAAAACTATCAACGTTCTAATGCCGCAATTCTAAAACCGGACAATATAGATATCAATAGGCATCCGGTTCACGTTGGGTATGTATCAATTTGTTTCATATATATTTTTTTTTTAATTATATACAAACATTTTAATGAAAATTAGTTAATATCGAATTAGCACGATCGAGTTCGATAAGCTGTATCATTATTATTATTATTATTATTAACGATTACGTACAGGTTGTGCCACAATGTTTTTTCTTCAAAATTTTACTATCATATTTTATGAATAAAAATATAAGAAAACACACAGAACGTTATGTTAAATGATTTATTAAAACGTTATAAAACAATAATATAAAACGACAACGATTTGATTTCTAATTGGATACCGCATAGTAATAGAGTGTTTTCGTTTAAATTATAATTTCATTTTAATATGCTGTTCGCGTCATTATGAATGTTAAAATATCTTTTTTTATTTTCCTTAATCCCAATGCGTCACGAATTCTTTGCTATTCATCCTTGACACGTATTAACTTCTGTTAGTTTATAGGAAATGTCATTTTTCAAGTAAAATAATGAGGTCTGAATATGTTAATGTTGTATATCCAAATACAAACACCGGTCCGTTGTCGTTTCATATTTTTGTTTATAACTTTCTAATTAAGCTTCTATTAAGTTTCAATTTAATGGTCAAAAGTGTGTTTGTAATCTATTCATTAACATATTATTCTATATAATATGACGAATTTGAGAATATCGATGATACGAATAAAATTCATAATTGTACGGCTTATCTCTCAAAAAAATACATGATCATGAAATTGTATAGGTAGACAAATAAAGATTTAAGAAGCGCGTGTGTATTTAAAAAAAGTTGTTTACGCACGACGATAAAAGTAAGATTGACAAAATATTCTTGTGGACAACATATTAATATATAAAATATTTAGTGTCGATGCCAGAAACGTGTACACTGCATAAGATATTGCATCTCGTATATATATATTTTAGCGTATTTATTACTCTCGTGCCTTAACGATAATAGTGTTGATTATGAAAAAACAATAATGTTGTGTATTATAGTGTGATACGGTGTGTGTTGATGAAAGTATCCTGCTGTAACTAATCCTTCAAATTTATTGGTTGCTATGTAATTTATCTTCTAGTTTACTTCTAATTTATCTCTCAAGCCTATATTACTTGCTAAATTATCGATGTTTGATAGATTTTTATTAAACGGTTTAAAGGTTCGTTACATGAAGCTCGAACTAATCCTATCGGAATAAAGAAATTATTTTGGTTATAAATAAATGAAAAAAGAAACAAGAAAAATGCATAGTATAACATTAACACGTTAAATAGAAAAATAATCATTGCGTTCTTTCACATTTATCATCTCACTTTCTCTGTACAAAAACATCGCGCGATCTCATTGATACTTTAATATACAATTCATTAATTACAATAGTTCAAAAATAAAGACAGTTGTTCAGTTACACCTTTGCATTCTCATACGTGTTATCATGTAGCCGCTTGTCTTGCTCGTAGCATTGTTTTTAAACGATGTAGCAATTTAGCATGAAATGTTTAAATATATTCAAAGATGAACGATTCTTTTTTTTGATATAACACGTTTAAATCATTTCGTTTATATATATATATAAATATTTTTTTTTTCAACTAACACGCATCTATTAAATTTCTCTCGTATGTAGGTTTAAAACGTCTGAGGATAAAATACTTGCGTCATATTGTTCTATTTTCGAAATGTTGAGTGTGATTGTTTCGAGTATAATATTATGGAGCACAGTTTTATGAGTTTCAAGAAATACGTTTGGCAGTGTTGCGTCAATCGCTAAAGTTTCTAAGAACGAAACTTCAACTGCACGATTTAAATAAGAGAACATTAAGCATGTGCATGAAATAAAACAAGTGTCGATAATCATACACGGTTTTGTTCCGAGATTAGTGCCTCTATAGAGTTCCTAATTACATCGCTGGCTGCTCTTGGCACCATGTCAAAAGGACAAGGAATGGAGAGGGACAGGTATACCATTCCGTTTTTATTATATTAGAATCACGTGCTTGATATGATGTAGTCCACGATTCCTTTCCTAATTTTTTTATCATCAGATTATACCACGTATAATAAATATCGTCCGATAAAAAATTTACTGTCTAATTCGTTATCAAATTATTTCTAATCGATATTAAATCAAGCACGTTAATATCGATCGATCGATGAAAATAATAAAGCACATGTTTTCAAATTGAATTAGGATCGTAAGGAAGTATTCAATAATTTTTCTTACAACGGAAAATAATACGAACAAAAATTAAGCGTATATCCTTTGTTCTTGGCACATGACAAATCTATTTCATCGAGACAATTACATCTACGATCGTGGAAAGTTTTTTTTACTAAAGTTTTTTTTACAAAAAAAAAAAAAGAAGAATCGTTCATCCGTCGTGAATTTTAACGAAAAGAGAAATTAGGTGAAAGACAATTTTAGTCCTTTACAACGGCTGTTTTTACTCGTGCGGATGTATCTTACAAAAATAATTCCATTACTTTTTTTGTTTTGTTATTCAGCTACGTTATGCGCATAAAACGAGATCTGTCGTCTTTTATGCTGCTAATAATAAAAAACATTATACATACATTATTTAAAAATTAATAGAATCTCGTATACGATATTAAATATATTTATATTCTTATAAATTGAAATATACTAATAATATAAGAATCCAATTTCTATAATGATTTCAATCGACAGCATATCATCAGGCAGATTTCGAAATCCTTCCTCTTACGTTGCAGTCCCAATGTATGTCTATTTTTCGCATAGTGTGAGTGATGTGTTGTCTCTCGCGGCGTCTCTACTATAATACATAATTATTATTGTTAATTCCCTTCCGCAATGTGTACTTAATAAAAAAAAGTGGTTTGCGTGTGATCATTGCGGGTTTTCGAAGCTATCAGCGATTATCAATTGGCAATATTTTAAGGAATTATTTAATGATTCAACTAACTGTGTCCGCTGATTTATTAATACTTTCGAAAATCTGTAAAGAGTTGTGGCAGAATATAATAATTCATGATCTCATCTTTCTCTTTCTCTCTTTCTCTCTCTCTCTCTCTCTCTCTCTCTCTCTCTCTCTCTCTCTCTTTTCTCTATTTCTATCTCTTTATTTTTATGGCATCATTCACCGTCATATTTATGGGAACGAATGAATACTAACGCGTTTTTTATTTTGTTTCCGATCCTCTGTTATTTAATTTGCGCTACTCGCAGAATCCCACAATGGAGAAAGTAAGTGGATCTTCTCTTGAATCTTTTAGCTTCTGCTATTAGACGTTGTGCTCCTGAATTGTATACTTTCATGCGTTCGACACTTTTTTGTCATTCCTGCTGCACACCAACCCCCTTATTCTTCTCCCCGTAGTCGAAAACTTTTAGTCATTTTTTTTTTTAATCGATATAGTTCGTCTAACAGCGAACACATATCAAATAACGAGTTACGATCGTATCGATCGGTTTGTTGAAATAAAGTTTTATTAGAATTATCCTTTTAATATCGATTTTATGTATTCGCTGTAAAAACTTTGCCTACAGCTACCGTTATAATACCACATAAGTTTCATTAAAATGCAATCTTCTTTAGAATTTTATTAGTCATTCGCACACGAACACAAATTGTTGGAGAATGTATTATATTATATTATATTATATTATATTATATTATATTATATTATATATATATACTTTCAAAATGGATTTTTTTTTCTTTCGTTGGTTTTTTAACAATTGACCTTTTCGATGTTTTCACATAGTTCTTTGATGTGATCATACAGTTCGGCTTACAGCTTCGTTTACTAAAAACAAAAACAAACAAACGAACATACAAATAAAAAAAATAAAAAATTTAATCAAGAATTGCAGTAGAGTGCTTAGCTTCTCGTTTATATAGCTTATCCTTGTCGTTATTATTAAATGTCGTAATTATTATTCACTTTTATCGATTAGAATCAAATTCTGTCAAAAAATAAACCATTCCATAATAAGATCAATACATACGTAAGACACGGACGGAAATTATTTTCAATGTTTTTTAATTTATATTCAAATATACTTCAAATGTGTTTAATCTATACTATTGAAATATTGATTCATTTTTTGCTTTGCGATTCATAGTATCATTCTGGCGATGCATACTTAAATCTTTCACATTATCACACGCTTGGCGTACGATGCGACTTGGCTATGAAAAATAATTATTATAATAATAAGTCAACACGGATATCGAATGGAAAATGAAATTAACCGATATTCAATTTAAATATATAAGTATTTATTATTATTAATTAATTAAGATATTTTCATACTTAAATGGAATATAACTTGAAAAATGATTTAAAAAGGTTTCATCAAGATGAAAAGGAACGAACGAAACATCGATTGCGGTTTCATACGTTTATCAAAAAGAAAAGAAAAAAGAAAAAAAAGCAAAATGTTTAATTTATATTTTATTCTCTTTTTTTTTTTCTTTTTACAAATTTATATATCGTATCAATGTATAATAGTATTGATCAGCAAATCAACTGTTCGCAGTTAATTATCATTATGAGTTTTTCATAAAATTAATCTACTACGATAGCTTCCTGGTTTCTTTCCTGGTCGACGCGAGGGGTGGTGCAATGAGGGGATGTAGACACAGCGGAGTTCGCGTTATCGTCCCCCCACGTAAAGCGGCAATGCCGATGAGAGTAACCTGCAGATACCTAAGGAGAGATAAATTGACCAATCCGCCTCCCTTAATGGAAGGCGAGGCTTTGGCCAGTCGTATCTTGGAACTTGGGCCAGTCGGTGCGAAATTTTTAGGGTAAGTTCAAATTTAGGTAATATCAAATTAACACATATTATTATATTACATATAAAATATTATTTATAAACGAAATAGAGAGAAATATATTTTTAATTGATTGTTTTATTTTTTGTTTTTTTTTTTTTGAAATCCAGACCTGTCATCATCGAAGTGCCACATTTTGCATCATTAAGAGGGAAGGAACGAGAAATAGTTATTTTGCGTTCGGACAACGGAGAAACTTGGCGCGAACATACCCTGGAGGCTAGCGAGGAGGCTGTACAGGATGTTCTTAACGAGAGCTTTGAAGGAGAAGGTATATATGTTTCATTTTATTTAAACGATTGTTTTTTCAGCAATGATCATTTTCCTTTTTTTTTTTCTTTTAAATATTGTTACACACTTCATCTTTTTTCCCGTAATCTTAGAATTAAGCCAGCTAGAGGATCTTCAAACGTCGCGTATCGTAAGGATACTTACCGCTGATTTTCCACATTATTTCGCGGTTGTTTCTCGCATCAGGCAAGAAGTACACGCTGTTGGACCGGAAGGTGGTACCGTATCTTCATCGGCTGTTCCTCAGGTTCAAGCTGTATTCCCACCTGCAGCTTTGACCAAGAAGATTAGAGTTGGCTTACAGGTATGTTATATAAAAGTCAACTATTATATTTTCTATACAATTAATTGTACTATTATAAAATCGATTATTATATTTATCGTCTTATTATAATTATTCGAATAAATAATATATTATCTATGTAGAATATATAATAAAAAATATTGTTTATTTAAATTGATGATATATTGACGTTTAAATTTATCTTCAGGCCCATCCGATACCAGCTGAACTAGTAGCTAAACTACTAGGTAATCGAGTTGCAGTATCGCCCATAGTTACGGTAGAACCACGACGACGAAAGTTCCATAAGCCGATAACTTTGACCATACCGGTTCCACAAGCAGCTAATAAAGGCATGATTAATCAATACTCGGGGGATGCACCGACCCTAAGGCTCCTGTGCAGCATAACTGGTAATATATGCTTGCGCGTAATATTGTAGAGCAGCGTACCGTCTTACTGGAAAATCTCTTACCGATAAATTGTTGAAAAATCGTTCTGTCGCAATCAATTTGGGTGTCATAAAAATATATATATAATATATATATATATATACATATATACATATATATATATATATATATATATATATATATATATTTATTTTTAACAACTTGTAATTGTTATTTTTTTATTTAGCTAACGGTTGGCAACCATATNTATATATATATATATTTATTTATTTATTTATTTATTTATTTATATATATTATATATCTTGTCAGATTTTTTAAGCATTCGAGTAAATCAATTTGTAGTTTAGTTAGGCATGATGACAACGTCGGTAGGCAATCTCGTCTGTTCTCAGGTCGTCGGGACTGCGCGGCATGCTATCGGTTTTTTATTTTGATACTATACACACATGTAATAACATTTGCGATATTTAAGTGTTATATTTTTATAATAGTCTCTTTTGTGTGTATTTGTAGCTACGCATATCTAACTTATATACTTATGTCGTTTTCATATTTGCGATCGCAATATATATATATACATATATAAATATATATATATATATTTTACTTCTTTATTTATTTATTTTTTTCTTGATACTGTTTTCTTTTTTTTTTTTACTGACTGAGTAATTTTTTTTTATAATTTATCTGTAGCTGATAAACACTGACTGCGGTTTACCCTTTGGTATCGGGCGAGATAATTGTTTCTATAAATATTGTATTATTATTTATATAATCTATTTCAATATTAGAGATGCACAAATGATGAAGGGTTTTGATCTCTTTAAATATATCGATTACACATTAAAGAAGGAAAACGAACAGAACTATATGTAAAAAAAAAAGAAAGAAAAAAGAAAAGGTCTTTCATTTGTGGAATGTGATAACTATTACACGATATAGATAATGGTTTTATTATTTATTTTTACGATTAGTTCATATAATAGCTTGCAAAAATTAGTTTTTTTTTCTTCTTCCTAGTTGCATAAAAATCAGACACGTAAACAATTTTTCTCTTTTTAAAAAAAGGAAAATCGATACTGAAGGGTCGAGGAAGATCTTGTCTATCGAGTAAGTGTCAGCCAAGTGAATTATTTTCGACTGTAATTTATAATCTTTTTATTGAAAGTGTATGCATCGTTTCAAGTTTTCTCGTTATCAGTGGCAGTATCCCGAAGACCTTCGGATAGAGATTTAAAAGGGAGATGGTAGCTGCATGTTCCATAGAAACATTTCGTTGAGTACCATTGTTGTATACATATCTTGTTGTGATTCATTGTTAATGCTTGCATATTGTTAGGATTGAGTCATTTAGGTATGGATTATTAATTAAAAGTAGATCAAAAGTTTTATTACTTAGCTCATCGTAAGCGTCAAATTAAAAGTTTTTATTTCAGCACATTCAATTGAATGGTAATTGCTTCAATATATCAAGCTTTCATTCTATATCAAATTTTATTATCTAATCGACATTGTGCTTAATGTAATATACACGTACTTATCTGAAATCGAGAAAGTACAATTCTCGACGTTAGAATTTATTCTAACGACGAAGAAGTATTGCAAAATATCGCATTTTTTTAAATTTCTTTTTTACTTTAAATTATTACATGCGCACAGCCACATTTTTGTTTCGTTAACATTTTCAATCCGGGGCTTCGTAGTTGTTCAACAAATATCACAGATTTACGTCACATCATTTTTCTGTTTCTTTTTTTCTCTCATTTTTCAAATATATTAATTTGATTTAATTATCACGTTATATTCTTTCAATGATTTCAACTACATTCGCTAATATTTTTGTTATGTTTTGTTTGAAATACATAATATCTTCCGAGATCAGAGTACACCCGTGTTGCTTTTTATCTAGGTATTTATAAATATCTTCTCTCAATTGGTGCGTATAAAAATATGCAAATAACGAAGCTTTTTTTATATTCATTATACTTGTCTTGTGTACATAATAATCCATAGCACGCTATACACATTTCTAGAGACCGATGTTAAATACAAAACGTTCATTAAATTTTTATAAACATCATTATACGTATATTATATTTGTAATTAGTATGTATTTTCAGGTTTTAGTGAATTTCTATTTTTTACCCAATTCCATGAGTATATGTGTGTGTGTGTGTGTGTGTGTGTATATATACAAATATATATATATATATATATATATATACAAGCATATCTACGTCTAAAATATTTCATCATATCTTTTTTATAAAGAAAAATAACATTTCTAAAAATCGTTATTCATATTCATATTAAAACGAGAATGATTACGTCAAGCATCCTCCCGTCCTTTCTATTTGCTAATGAAATCAACATATATTTGCACTCATGATCATTAAAAAAAAAAAGAGAAAAAAAAACGATTTAAATATTATAAAAATGATTACTTTAATTCTCTTCACATTTATTCGAGACTGTAATTAATTTCGGTCGCACCGGATTCAAAAAAACACACTTTTCACTACTGTTATTGAACATTTTTAGTACGGACATATTTTAATAATATTATTGGACTTGACATGTATGTCGTTCAGGGGGTCAGTCTCGGGCAGTCTGGGAGGATGTCACAGGTTCGACGCCGTTAACTTTCGTCAAGGATTGTGTCTCTTTTACAACCACGGTATCTGCTCGTTTTTGGCTAATGGACTGCCGAAATATTTCGGAAGCAACCAAAATGGCTACAGAACTATATACCCATGCTACTCATGTACCATTTATGGCTAAGTACGTTTGACAATTATACTGAACGGTAACAAGAAATATTTTGCAAAATAATTATCTTTCCCTTTAGGAATATATTTCTTTTCTCTTTGGGGAGGGTTTTTTTTTCCTCTTATAAATTTAATAAATCGATATTTTAATATTATTTATAGATTCGTAGTATTCGCCAAACGTATAGATCCTTTGGAGGCCAGGATACGCGTATTTTGTATGACCGATGACAAAGAGGATAAAACTCTTGAACATCAAGAACATTTTACCGAAGTTGCGAAGAGTAGAGATGTTGAAGTAAGTGTGTATATGTGTGTGTGTAAATTTTGTATTAATATAAAAATAAGTAACGTAATTCGAATTTGTTACATTGTGTACGTTGTGCAGGTGTTAGAAGGCAAAACTCAATACATGGAATTTACGGGTAATCTCGTACCAGTATTAAAAAGTGGCGAACAACTTCAATTACCATTCAGAGCGTTTAAAGAAAATAGAGTACCGTTTACTGCGCGAATAAAAGATCCAGATGCGGTAGATATGATGGGTCGAATAATGTTTATGAGTGAGCCTAAGGTTCCTAAAGGCGAGGTACCGCAAACGCCAATATGTACATTGAATATTTTATTACCTGAAAAGATTTCGCCAGAGCCTGCAGTCTCAGAATTGGATTTACTTGAATTATCGAAAAATTATAGTTTTCTACGAGACGGTGGAATCAGTATGTAACAATTATTGATCATTTTATTATTATTATTATTGTGATTATATAGGATTATATTTTGAACTACCAGTTAAGTATTTAATTGAGATCTTGTAATTCATTTACTTTTAGGTCGACCGGATGCTATACATAGAGCAACCATACGTTTAAGGGATATAGCAAATTTATTAGGCAAGGACTGGGAACCATTAGCAGAAGAACTTAACATTGCTCCGAACGATGTATCCTTGATAAAACAGAATTATCCTGATAAGCCAGCACAACAAGCGGCAGCGATGTTCAAACTTTGGCAAAGTAATGGGAATAAGGCGACGGGTAAGTTGAAATATATTTTAATTATTATCGTAGCTTCTATTATAGATATATATATATATGATAGAACTTATATAAATAGGCGCCAAACGAATTAAATTTATATTAGTACGATACATCATAATTATACCATAATCGTCAAAGCGTGCTTCATCACGCAAGGTCAAGAAAACAAGATTTGCTCACTGCGATTGACTCAGACGTGTGGAATCTCGATCGTAATGTTGTTGATGATCTCATGCTACATTATTATTCCTGACATAACTCACAACTCTCTTTCTATTTCTTTCTTTCTCTTTCCCACTACTATAATGATTCCATCTTATTCTGACGAAGTACGCAAAACGTCTCAGCAATCAGTGGAACGACAAACAGTCGCGCAGTATTGTCTGAAGGATACGGTCAAATTTACTCGTGTTTGTTATTTCCTGTTTGTCGGTTCTCTCCTTGAGAATTTATATCAAGCAGCTCGTAATAATTTTATAGATCCTCTTTTTTTTTTCTTTTTTCTTTTACTTTAACGTCAGTGATATCGTGCGAAAAAAAAAGAGAAAAAGAGAGAGAGAGAGAGAGTGCAGTGATTTAATAATAAATAATTTTTCTATGATATACATTTTTGATTATTAATTCAAAACGAAGATGCACTTATCTTTGTATCAAGAGTATCAAAATTCAACGACGAATTTATATACTAGCGAACTTTTAATAATATTTCATAAAAAGCCTTCGATATGTCATCACAGTTCCAAAATTTCAGGTATGTTTTATAAATGGAGTAATATGTCAACGAATATTAACGAACGAATTATTTTTATAAGTGCGTTTGCTTGAAAAGAACATTTTTAAATATAATTACCGTTGCATATAGAAAATGATTTCTTAAATATAAATATTCATATAGATATAAATATACAGTGAGTGACTTAGAAAAAAAAAAATTTCTAAATACTAAACATATATTATACTTGTGTACTTATTATTTATTTCGTGGAATTTTTTTCGTATTATTACATTGTGCTATAAATAATTATTACGTAGTTATACTTATAGTAAATAATATATATATATATATACGCATGCATGTCATATAATATAATACAAACGTAGATCTCGAAAGAATAAGTTGAAGAAATTCTAACGGAATCATATATGAGCTTAATTTAAACGATAAAAAAAAGAAAAAAAAAGAAAGTAATCACTCAATTAATTACTTTCTGCTTTCCGTTTAGCTACGAGACTCTTTTTTCGATAAACTTTGATCCTTATTTTTTTGTTTGTTTGCAATCTCATACGAACGCGCAAACATGATCTATATTAAGATGACGGAGCTTCGAACCCCGTGATCCTACATAAATATCATTCTTTTTATAGGTAATACTTTAGAAAAGGCACTCCAGAAGATTGGCCGAGAAGATATTGTAAAAAAATGTATATTTAACGTAGAACTTATAACTGACGATGTCGAAAAAGCAGTAGCAAGGGTTCGGTTAGATCAGCCAGGTTTCGACTCCTTGAAAGAGGAGTTGGGACCTTCCAGAGACACATCTCTTCGACGTGATGCAACCATGGATCCAAAAATGGATCCTGATTATGAGGAACCAGATAGAATGAAGGTATACAATATTATCTATACAATCCATGCATACCATTGCAATGTATCAAACATATTATAATCATATATGATTCAATTTCAGGAATCTGAATCCGTAGAAGAGCTTAGTAATACCAGTCATTTGCAGGATAAACGATGTAAGTGAAAATTTATTAATAGTGATACCGAAAGTGTTTCAAAGAAATCATATCTATTTTTATAATTATAAATTTCATTACAGTATATATCTGTGATTATATTATACACATTTGTTTCTCTTTTTGTTATTAGAAATATTACGTTATGCATTTTTTTTTTTTCAATGATTATTTAAGAATAATAGTATAGTGAAAAAGATCTGAATTTTTGTGTTTTCAAAGTAATATAATAGTGATTATAAAAACAATATAATATATGCACGCTAAGCAATAGTAATTTTAATCATGATTTCGTGTTACATCTTTTCATTGTTTAATATGCATCACTTAGCTAATGATGAATCACACGTCATATTTAACAAAAAAAAAAACATATATTTCAACACTTTATATTTCGGCTCTTCGTTCACAACACGTTTCTCCGCACTTAACAGCCAAGCAGCATGTCACAATCGCTAATGGCACTGTATTCAACGGAACCTCGACCCCCATCAAAGATAAATATGCAAGCGATGAAAAAGAATTGGGAGATGTGATGGCCGAATTCATAGAACATAAATGTCACGTTACCGACACGATGAGTAAAAAGTTACGCGACGAGCTCGACGACGAAGAAATTAAACGACAAAGGGTGATTGCCGACGCTAATAAAATAGTTTCTGGTAAGTGACTTGGTGTATATATTATTTTATAAAACTGGTGGGTTGAGGGGCCGGGGGGCCGTGCTTTATATCTCTCTCTGCAAAAAAAAAAAAAAGGATAATATTATAATTAAAAAAGGATACGAGACAAGCTATCGATGAGCAGCACCTACTTATTTCATTCAAACTTTCGCAGCATGCTCAGCCCAATACGGTAACGCACGCTTCTTTCTAAAGTATCGATTTATTTTATTAACTATTTATACTATTTTCAAAAAATAGATTATTAATATATACAAATATTTCTGGTATGTATATATATAATCAAAGTTTTTAACTGCACAACTATACATATTCATTTGTAAATATATAAATAATAATCCAATTTTTTAATAGCTAATATTAATTTTTAATAATAAATAATTAAATGAAAAAAAAACACAATACGTATATCGACACTTTTAACGCACTGAATAGAGCACGTCATCGTTTTATTATTTTCTGTGTAATGAGAATGAAAGATATATTCTCAATTTTCTTTAATTCCTATCTACGAATGGTGCCATCTCTCATAACGGATTATGTTTTTATATTGTATGATCGTAATAGATATTTTGAAAAGAATACAATTTGTCTGCTTTTTAAGTGAAAATTTAATTTTTTCATACGTCAATGTAGACGAATAACATAAATTTGAATATTATCTCTTATATCATTCAAATAATAAAACAATTTATATTTAAATATGTACAAAACGCGCTGATACATTCGCGTTTCTAATGCACTTAAAACGGTTACCATCTTGTCTTTTTAATTTTACTCACAGGTTCCGGACGCCGCTGTGGATATCTTCATATTTCAGCTTGCTTATCTCTCTTAATAAGTAATGATTTATTTAATTTGCCTTTCTCGATCGACATTTCATATATGTGTATATCGTATATGACATATACGATTTTTTAACATAATCCATTTAATCATTTCGCTAATACATTTTCTCTAGTCTTCAACACATTCCTAGCAATTTGTTTCAGCAAAGATTATGCTACAATTATTTGGCGATGCATGAACAGCCAAAATGTGTGTGTGGCCTTGTTGTGTGGGCGCACGGAGCAGCCGTCTTTATAATATATAGATTATTATAATAAATAGATATAGTTATTTATTAGTATAAAGTAATAGTAGATGCAAAATCAAGTAGATAGTAGCGTTGTTAATCGTTTAGCAAACGAATAATCCCGAGTTATATATATTATTTATATTTAATATTTGTGTTTTATTTAGCGTTGAAGAGTATAATGATAGTTTTTTTACAAAAAATACACAAAACACAATGGTTATTACATCGTACATTTACATTTATCGATCATACAAGAATGCATAAGTATTTATTATATCAGAAATGATGAGAGAGAGAGAGTAATGAATAATCAATTATTTATTAAGAAGTAGTTGTAATGTTATTAGTTGAAGGATGGCTGCTCCACAGCACATACACTCTACGCACAATCCACGCGGCAAATCTAACCTCTGCTCCAATCAAAGAACAATGACGAACGAGCCGGCTTACACTAATGATGACGCAATATGAACGAATAAAATGTGTTCCCTTTAATATGTTACGTTTACAGATGGCTAAATTATATAATACTTAATTAACAGGTGTAATAGCTGATGCAGAGAAAGAAAAGGAGAAGTTAGCGAAGGAAGGGTGGTCGGTGGTTTATGATGATATGCGGGACAGTGAGAAGGTGAGAGGTGCTGTAGGGCAAACATCATTTAACAAAGAGATAGTTCAAAGTTCAGATCTATTTAGGGATGCTGAGTTAGGTATTATTCTACAACCAAAAGTTAGAGACGACATAGAACCACTTATAATCAAACAAGAACGAGCACAAGGCGGGAAAAGGGATCCTAAAAAGCAAATTCCTCCTATCCCAAAACAAGCGGGCATTTTAAAGAAGGATACAGTAGTAATAGAACAACCAGTTGTTAGACAGATTACCGTTATAAAAGATATCAAACCCCCGATAGTTACAGTAACTTCCACAGATTCTATCATCTTACCTCATAGTAAAGCAGAAGTTAGCGAAAAGGAGAAGATGTCCAAGGAAGGTAAAGAAGTTGATGAAAAGTTCTCGTTAGGTGATATCAAAGGGACATCGCAACCTACGAAAGATACCGATATTAAAATTAAAACGACAGAAATGAAAACCAAAATCGAAACGGATATTCCGAGTAAAAGTAAAGTGGAACAAGATGGAAAATCAATTGCCGATAAACGTCATTCCGCGTATAAGGATGTATACGATGCACAATATCCTACGAAGAATCTCGAAGAAGAAACAACAGATACGTCGACAAAGGTGAAAGATAAAAGCGGTGGTATATTTTCGGGTATTTTTAAAAGTCCCAAATTGAAAAAAGGAAAATCCAAAGATTCGAAAGATACGTCTTTTGATAGCGGAGATGAGGAAAACAAAACTCTCCCGGTATCTGAGACAGTATCAAAACTTGTAACTACATCTCACGATAAAACATCTCCATCAAAGAAAGAGACAGTAACTGTCTTATCTGACATCAAATTAACAACTATAAATTTACTGGAGGATGCTAAAAATACTGCTGCTATCTTACATGCATTACCAGAATCAACCGAAAAAAATGGATCAGTAACAGTTCCCGTAGAAGATAAGAAGGACAAATCATCAATCGAAGTTCATACTACTAAGCCACAAGTAGTGTCAGGAGTAAAAGAAAAAATTACGATTGTAGGAACGAAAAAAGAACAGGTTAATGGAACGTCAACGATGAAACCAGATCAGACAATAGATTCTGTTGATGGAATAGGTAAAAAGATCGAGCGAGAAGATAACAAGAATCTCGAAATAACGTCTAAGAGTAGTCCGATTAAACAGGAAAATATTCCTAAATCTGACACTAAGGAATCACCGAAGAAAGAAGATAAAGATGATACCGAGACAGATACGACTGGTAAAGAACGCGGTGGTATATTCGGTATATTTAGAAGTCCGAAATTGAAAGATAAAAAAACAAGTAAAGTAGTAAAAGATTCGTCGGTTGATTATAGCGACGAGGAGCTTAAATCTACGACTGAAAAATTCCTCGAGGAAACGCGTAAAATTGCTGACGAGGATGCTATTTATACGAGTTACAAGACGGATGATAAAAAACCTATTGCAACAAGTCCAGTAGCTACGTTCAGTGCTCCTATTTACGATAGCTTTGATGTACCAGTAGACAAAGTTAGTAGACATTCGTACGATGTAACAGATAAATTTACACCCGAACAAACTCTATCGCCAGATAAAAAAACTGATAAAGAAACTGCAGAAGAGAGCAAGGAGAAAGGTAACTTCTTTGGCATATTTAAAAGTCCTAAACTCAAGTCTAAAAAGAGATCGAGAGATCGTAGCACTTCGAAGGAGAGATCGTTTGAAAGCACAGATGAAGATTCTTATAATGCAGACGTCAAAACTATGGAACGGTCGAGCAAACCATCGATCCAAAAGGAAGAAGAGAGCCAGGAATCTGGATCAGGAGATGAAGGTAGCAAAGAAAAAAGTGGTGGAATTTTTGGAATGTTCAGAAGTCCCAGATTGCAACGTGGCTCTCGAAGCAAATCCAAAGAAAAAAGTTTGCCGCCTGAGGTACCGCAAAGTGATTTCAAAGAAACAACAGCCAAGTTTTTGGAAGACACGCGAAATACTGCTGGATTAATCAGTGGTTATCAACAATCGCATATAATTTCACCACAAAGTCAAGACGATAAGATTAAAGAACAAACTCCACCAATCGAAAAGGTACCCGGTGATAAAGCAGATACTACAGCTCAAAAAGTTGTAAACGGTATAAAAGATGTAAAAGATACTGTAGCAAAAGAACTGAAAGAAGATACTAAAGCTGTTAAGGATGCGCTTACTGCTGGTGCTGGTGCTGCTGTGGATGGTGCACAATCAGCGAAAGATAAAATTGCAAAAGAAAGCAAAAAGGCAAAGGATAAAACATCGGGATTTTTCTCAGGTATTTTCAAGGGAACTAAGCAAACGGTTGATGACGTATCCGATGATGTTAAAGATTTCGTAGAAGAAACGAAAACCGAGGTAGCAGAAAAAGAGGCTGGTGCAAAAGAAGCAGCTGCACAAGCTGTAAAATCTACCGATGATGCAAAGGATAAACTTGTGACTGGCGTTAAAGATCTGAAAGATAAGACAGTAGCAAAAGTAGACGATGCAAAGGAGAAAATAACTGCTGGTGTAAAAGATACTAAAGATAAGACTGTTGCAGTGACACAGGAAACCAAGGAAAAAATAGTGACCATCACAAAAGATACGAAAGACAAAGCAGTAACTGGAGCACAGGATGTCTCCGAGAAAGTAGTAGCTGGAGTAAAGGATGTAAAAGACAAAACAGTGAAAGGAGCCAAAGACCTCACCAAGAAAACAGTAGCTGGTGTAAAAGATGTTGAAGATAAGAGTGCTTCAGCTGTTGCAGAAGTTAAAGACAAAATCGTTTCTAGTGGAAAGACAGCCGCTGATAAAATAGAAACCACAGCTCGCGGAGTTTCAGATAGTGCAAAAGACGCAAAAGATGCTGCAGCAAAAGAACTAAAAGAAGATGTTAAAGCTGTAAAGGGAGTAGTTACAACTGGTGCTGAAGCTGTTGTGGATGCCACTCAGTCAGGTAAAGATAAGGCTGCAAAAGAAACGAAGAAAGCTAAAGAAAAAACAACTGGATTCTTCTCGGGAATATTCAAAGGAGCCAAGCATGCGGTAGAAGATGTCTCTGGTGATTTCAAAGAATTTTTAGATGAAACCAAAGCCGAAGCAGCCGAAGAAGAAGCGCGTGCAAAAGAAGCAGCTGCTAAAGCTGCAAAATCTGTAGATGATGCTAAAGATAAAGCCAAGACTGAAGTTAAAGATCTAAAAGATAAAACTGCAGAAAAAGTGCAAGATGCGAAAGAAAAAACAGTGGCCAGTGTTAAAGATGCAAAAGATAAAACTGTAACTACAACGCAAGATATCAAAGAGAAAATTGTGACCAGTGTTACAGATGCTACAGGAAAAGCAGCAAGTAAAGCAAGTGACGTTACCGAAAAAGTAGTAACTGGTGCAAAGGATGCAAAAGATAAATCAAAGGAAAAAGTGAAGGATATGACGGAGAAAACAGCAGAAGTCATCAAAGATGGAAAAGAAAAAACAGCTGCTGCAGCTACGGATGCAGGCGAAAAAATGATCTCTGGTGGGAAAGCAGCTGCTGTTAAGGTAGAAACTGCAGCACACGGAGTTGCTGATGGTGCCAAACATGCGAAAGATGCAGCAGCAAAAGAATTGAAAGAAGATGCTGAAGCTGTGAAAAGTACACTTTCCACTGGTGTTGATACTGTTGTAGACGCAACAAAATCAGCGAAAGATAAATCTGAGAAAGAAGTTAAAAAAGCTAAAGATAAAACATCTGGATTTTTCTCAAGTATTTTCTGGGGATCGAAGAGCTCGTTTGATGATGCTTCCGATGATGTTCAACAGTTTTTGGATAAGACTAAAGATGAAGCCGAAGAAGAAAAAGCGCGTGCAAAAGAAGCAGCTGCTAAAGCTGCAAAATCTGTAGATGATGCTAAGGATAAAGCCAAGACTGAAGTTAAAGATCTAAAAGATAAAACAGCCGAAAAAGTGCAAGATGCGAAAGAAAAAACAGTGGCCAGTGTTAAAGGTGCAAAAGATAAAACTGTAACTACAACGCAAGATATCAAAGAGAAAATTGTGACCACTGTTACAGATGCTACAGGAAAAGCAGCAAGTAAAGCGAGTGACGTTACGGAAAAAGTGGTAACTGGTGCAAAGGATGTAAAAGATAAATCAAAGGAAAAAGTTAAGGATATAACGGAGAAAACAGTAGAAGTCATAAAAGATGGAAAAGAAAAAACAGCTACTGCAGCTACCGATGCAGGCGAAAAAATAATCTCTGGTGGTAAAGCAGCTGCTGTTAAGATAGAAACTGCAGCACACGAAGTTGCTGATGGTGCTAAACATGCGAAAGATGCAGCAGCAAAAGAATTAAAACAAGATGCTGAAGCTGTGAAAGGTACACTTTCCACTGGTGTTGATACTGTTGCGGACGCAACAAAATCAGCTAAAGATAAAACTGCGAAAGAAGCTAAAAAAGTTAAAGACAAGACGTCTGGATTTTTCTCGGGTATTTTTAAAGGAGCCAAGCATTCAGCTGAAGATGTTTCTGCAGATGTTAAGGAGTTTTTGGACAAGACAAAAGCCGAAGCTGCAGAAGAAGAGGCACGTGCTAAAGAAGATGC